TCACAATAACAAAGACTTGGAACCAACCCAAATGCCCATCAATGATAGACTGGATAAGGAAAATGTGGCATATATGCACGATGGAATACTATGCAGCCATAAAAAAGGATGAGTTCATGTCCTTTGCAGGGACATGGATGAAGCTGGAAACCATCATTCTCAGCAAACTAACACAGGAACAGAAAACCAAACACCACATGTTCTCACTTATAAGTGGGAGGTGAATAATGAGAACACATGGGCACAGGGAGGGGAACATCACATACCAGGGCCTGTCAGGATGTGGGGGACTAGGGGAGGGATAGCATTAAGAGAAATACCTAATTTGGATGACGGATTGATGGATGCAGCAAACCACCACGGCACATGCATACCTATGTAACAAACCTGTACTTTCTGCACATGTATTCTAGAACTTAGAGTATAATAAAAAATAAAAATAGGCCGGGCACAGTGGCTCATGCCTGTAATCCCAGCACTTTGGGAGGCTGAGGCGGGTGGTTCACAAGGTCAGGAGATCGAGACCATCCTGGCTAACATGTTAAAACCCTGTCTCTACTAAAAAAAAAAAAAAAAAAAAAAAAAAAAAATTAGCCGGGCGTGGTGGCAGGCACCTGTAGTCCTAGCTACTGGGGAGGCTGAGGCAGGAGAATGGCATGAACCCAGGGGTGGAGCTTGCAGTGAGCCAACATCACACCACTGCACTCCAACCTGGGCGACAGAGCGAGACTCTGTCTCAAAATAAATAAATAAATAAAAATAAATGTATTTTCTAAATTTTCTAATATGGGCCTGAAAAAATTTTTAATAGGGGAAAGTTTTAAACAGAAAAATAATGACTCCCCTACCCAGAATTAACTGTTGTTTCCACTTCAGATATCTAATAAAGGAATAGAATATCATTGATGGAGTTTCAGTCTTCTTTGCTCCCCATCCCAGACCCCTCTCTTCTTCAGCATGCAGCCATCTAGTCTGTGTTTGCACACTTTTCTTTTTTGAGACAGAGTCTCACTGTGGCGCCCAGGCTGGAGTGCAATGGCATGATCTTGGCTCACTGCAACCTCTACCTCCTGGATTCAAGCAATTCTCCTGCCTCAGTCTCTCAAGTACCTGAGACAACAGGCACACGCCAGCACGCCTGGCTAATTTTTGTATTTTTGTACAGATGGGGTTTCACCATGCTGACCTGGTTGGTCTCAAACTCCTGACCTCAAATGATCCGCCCACCTCAGCCTCCCAAAATGCTGGGATTACAGGCATGACCCACGGTACCCGGACTGTTTGCACACTTTCTTAGAAGTTTCTGCCTTCATAAACATCCCATAGTGTTCCTCTTGGTGTTCTTCAAAACTTACACAAATTTTATCGCACTGTGATTTACTTTTTTTCACTAAACATTAGATTTTTGGGAGCCACTCAGGATGCTTTGTATTGAACCAATTCATTTATTTTAACTGCTGTGGAGTATTTCTCAAACAAATATCCCATAATTGGCTTGTTCATTCCCTTATGGGGAAATGAACATTTATGGGAATGATTCATTTAGGTTGTTTCCAATTTTTAGCTATTACAAATAGTGCTGCAGTTACTCCGGACCTTCATAATCAGGAAAAACGTCTTTACATTTAAAACACCAACAATATAAACCGTGGAGAAAAAGACGGAGGATACTGCTAAGTCTGGTGAAAAGGACGCTTCCACTCCCCAGACTTGGGTTTCTTGCTTAGGGTCGGGGGGCCCTCCAGAGGCCACCTGCCTCGGGCCCTCTGTGATGCCGTGAAGGTGGTGCGAGGACCCAGAGGTCCCTGACCAGGTGATACAGGAGCTAGAGAGAAATTGTTTAAGCAGATAGTAAGGGCAACAGAGCTCTGGGCGGAATCTCCCTTTTTTTTTTCTTTCTTTTTTTTTTTTTTGTGAGACAGAGTCTCCCTCTGTGGCCCAGGCTGGAGTGCAGTGGCGCGATCTCGGCTCACTGCAAGCTCCACCTCCCGGGTTCAAGCAATTTCCCTGCCTCAGCCTCCCGAGTAGCTGGGACTACAGGCGCCCGCCACCACGCCCTGCTATTTTTTTTTTTTTTGTATTTTTAGTAGAGATGGGGTTTCACCGCTTTAGCCAAGATAGTCTCGATCTCCTGACCTCGTGATCCGCCTGCCTCGGCCTCCCAAAGTGCTGGGATTACAGACGTGAGTCACCGCATCCAGCCTTTTTTGTTTTTGTTTTTGAGACAGAGTCTCGCTCTCTCGCCCAGGGTGGAGTGCAATGGGGCAATCTCCGCTCATGGAAACATCCGCCTCCCGAGTTCAAGTTCTCCTGCTTCAGTCCCCCAAGTAACTGGGATTACAGGCACCCGCCACCACGCCCGGCTAATTATTTTTTCCTTTTAGTAGAAACCAGTTTTCCTCATGTTGCCCAGGCTGATTTCGAACTCTTGAGCTCAGGCAACCCACCCGCCTCGGCCTCCCAAAGTGCTGAGATTACATGCGTGAGCCACCTTGCCCGGCCGGAATTTCCCTTTGAACAAAAACAGTCCCCAAAATTATTTATTTTCTAACAAAGAGTAACCTGAAAAATCAAGCTGTTAACATAGATAAGCAAGCTGGAAGCTTGCACCGGTGAATACTGGCTGCTGTGCCAATAGAAAGGGGCTACCTGGGGTCCAGGTATATTCGACATAGAGGCTCCGTCTTCCTTTTGTCACCATGTGTACAGTAAAGAAACAGGCAGTCAGGCGCGGTGGCAAAGGCCTGTAATCCCAGCACTTTGGGAGGCCGAGGCAAGTGGATTACCTGAGGTCAGGAATTCAAGACCAGCCTGGCCAACAAGGTGAAACCCCATCTCTACTAAAAATACAAAAATTAGCCCGGTGCAGTGGTGGGCGCCTGTGATCCCAGCTACTCAAGAGGCTGAGGCAGGAGAATAGCTTGAACCCGGGAGGCGGAGGTTGCAGTGAGCCAGGATCACACCACTGAACTCCAGCCTAGGCGACAGAGCGAGACTCCCTCTCAAAAAAAAACATGGCTCCAGCCAGGTGGAGAATCCATCTGCATAATAAAGTATCAGGGTGAGGGTGGCCAGGTTTTCACGCCCTATGCAAATGACATACCTAGCCCTAACCAGTTTTTCACACCCTATGCAAATGGCACACCTGGTCCAACCAATCTTTTGTGCCCTACGTAAATCAGACACCACTTCCTCAAACTCATCTATAAAATGCTCTGCATTTCACTGCGGAAGCAGCAACCCATTTCTCTGGGACCCTGGTCTGCCGCAAAGAGCTCTTCTCTTTCACCTATTAGACTTCTACTCTGAACCTCACTCTTTGTGTGTCTGCATCCTAGTTTTCCATGGCCATGAGACAACAATCTCAGGTATTTAGCCCAGACAATGACACCGACACCGCTTCCCAGGCACCCTCCAATCTGCCCTGCACCTTTACACCAGAGCAGTTTTCCTGCTATGCCTCCTCCAGAAGTAGCAAACATTCAATTTGCATAGTATGCTGAACACAACCACCTTATAAATTTGTTTAATTCTCACAACAATCTTATGACTTAGTACCATGGTTATTCTGTTTTCACTTGGGGGAATGAGGCGTGGAGAGGTTAGGTAACTTGCTCAAGGTCACACAGCTGATAAGAGGCCGAGCTGGACCCAAACCCAGACAGTGCGACTCTAAAATCCACACCCTGAAATCCTCTGCCGCCTCCTATCCTTATCTCATTGCCCTCTTTATGGCCTCGCCTCTCCCCTGCCTCAATGGAGAAAAGTGAGACTGTCCTGGGTCAGGACTCTGACTCTGTCTCAAAAAAAAAAAAAAGTTGGGCGTGGTGGCTCATGCCTGTAATCCCTGCACTTTGGGAGGCCCAAGCGGGTGGATCACCTGAAGTCCGGAGTTGGAGACCATCCTGACCAATATGGTGAAACATCGTCTCTACTAAAAATACAAAAATTAGCCAGACGTGGTGGCATGTGCCTCTAGTCACAGCTACTGGGGAAGCTGAGACAGGAGAATAGCTTGAACCCAGGAGGCGGAGGTGGCAGTGAGCCAAGATTGCACCAGCCTGGGTGACAGAGCAAGTCTCAGTTTCAAAAAAAAAAATATATATATATATATATATATATATATATATATATTCCTGGGTCATTCTTTCCTTTGATAGCCAGAGTCCTTGTCTCCTTTTAATTACTTAAACATTTACAGATGTGAAATGCCAGCAGATTTGATACCTGACCATTGCTAATTTTAACTTTAAATGGCTCAGAAAAAAGCCACTATACAACAGACATCATAACCCCACTACATGGCAAAATCGTTTCAGTTGCTATAATCACATACAATCTGCTGTTGCTCTAAAGCTTGTTACCTCATAAAGGCGGTTTTTCTTTTCTAATTTTTGCACTACTTAGCAGCAAATGGTAGTTATACTATCGTGACGGTGAATACTACTTGCTAGAAAGTGTGTCAGAGTTTCTTGGGAGCAATGATTCATGACTCAACCAGGGGGCAATAAAGAAGAGATCAGCCACACACCAAGCCCTTTCTGGGGTCATGGTATGTGGATAACTACATTATATTGTGATCTACTGCATTATACAAGGATTTTTTTTTTTTTTTTTTTTTTTTTTGAGGTGGCGTTTCACGTGACCCAGGCTGGAGTGCAATGGCTTGATCTTGGCTCACTGCAACCTCCGCTTCCTGGGTTCAAGCAATTCTGCCTCAGCCACCTGAGTAGCTGGGATTACAGGTGCCCACCACCACGCCCAGCTAATTTTCGTATTTTTAGTAGAGACATTGTTTCACCATGTTGGCCAGGCTGGTCTCAAACTCCTGACCTCAGGTGATCCACCCACCTCGGCCTCCCAAAGTGCTGGAATTACAGGCGTGAGGCATCGCACCCAGCCATACAAGGATATTCTTTTTGCAGTCGTGAATACAAGATCAATTCTGTTGTGTAGGGCTGAATGTTGTGAAATGTGTGTAAGAAAAGGATTGTAATTACCTGCATTTATCATGTCAGTCATTCTAATCATCAGACAATGATATGAACACAGTGAGAAAGACATCCCTCATGACTCTATTCTTCCTGAAATAGAGAAACGATAAGAATTCCATCAGCTCATCCGCCACTCCATGTGGAAATAGCCCATTTCTGATGACGTTGTGGGAGTTTTGCTTTTTGGTTTCTGTGTTTATTTTGGTTTGGGTTTTTGCTTCAAGGTAGATCAACAGGTAAAATCTGGTTTCCCTATCCTTTTATTGTCTCTTTTTGCACTTGTTCAATATGCCTCCAGACATCCTCTTCATGTAAGACTTTCTCTCACTACCCCTGTTCTCTCAGCTAAATACCCTTGGCCTTCCTAGGCAGTGCTCTGGTCTCCCCACACCCAACCCCCTCACTTCCTATCCATGCCCCTACACAGAAATTCTGGCTGCCTTGCTCAAATCCTTCAGAAATGTGTGCTCCCCAAGCAAGAGTCTCCTATCATTTCCAAGAAAATTAAGTCACCTGTGTGCTATGGTCTGAATGTTTATGTCCCCACAGAATTCATATGTTGAAACCTAATCACCAAGGTGATGGCATTAGGAGGTGAGGTCTTTGGGAGATGACGATGTCATGAGGGCTCCACCCTCAGAAACGAGATTGGGGCTCTTATAAAAAAAGGCCTTGACTGGGCATGGTGGCTCACACCTGTAATCCCAGCACTTTGGGAGGCCAAGGCAGGTGGATCACCTGAGGTCAGGAGTTCCAGACCAGCCTGACCAACATGGTGAAACCCTATCTCTACTAAAAATACAAAATTAGCCAGGCATGGTGGCACATGCCTGCAATCCCAGCTACTTGGGAGGCTGAGGCAGGAGAATCACTTGAACCCAGGAGGCAGAGGCTGTAGTGAGCTGAGATGGCACCACTGCACTCCAGCCTGGGCAACAAGAGCGAAACTCCATCTCAAAAAAAAAAAAAAAGAAAAGAAAAGCCGGAAGGAAGCTGTTCACCCCTCCTGCCGTGTGGACACCACAAGAAGGCACCACCTTTGAGGATGAGATCGAGCCCTTACCAAACACCAAAACTATGGGCACTTTGATCTTGAACTTCCTAGCCTCCAGACCTATGGGAAAGAAATTTCTGTTGTGTCAAAGCACTCAGTCTATGTATCTTGTTACAGCAGCCCAAAGGGACTGAGACAATGTGCCAGTGGGAGAAAGGCACACAGCACCCACATCCTCTTCCCATCGAAGTCACGCTAGCAGGGTGCCCATCTGAACAGAATGTTTTCAAAGATGAAGCCCTCAATCATTTTGTTTAAATCAAAGGGGAAGTCCTTTCATGAATTTTAGGTCCTATTTTCAAGGGCTACTCAAAGTAAGCTGGGCACAGTGGAAAGGGTGATATTTATGAGCAGGAATTGTTATTGCAGTCTCCACTAAAATCATTCATTAAAGGCACCTCCTTGTTTGCTCTCAGAGGCCCAGGACTTTATTGCTTTCTCCTTTCTCCACAGCAATCATTCTCAGGCATTGGGATTCCACAGTAGTCTAAAAAAAGTGGGATTTCAACTCAGTATGATAAGTTTATTTTGCCAAGTAAGAGCACTTAAAAACAAAAGCAATAACAAAAAACTACGAATTCCTATCACCATTATTTCATTTATTTATTTATTTATTTTTGAGATGGAGTTTCGCTCTGTTGCCCAGGCTGGAGTGCAGTGGTGTGATCTTGGCTCACTGCAACCGCCTCCCCACCCATTTCCCAGGTTCGAGCGATTCTCCTGCCTCAGCCTCCCGAGTAGCTGGCATTACAGGCATCTGCCACCACACACCGCTAATTTCTGTATTTTTAGTAGAGACAGGGTTTCGCCATGTTGGCCAGGCTGGTCTTGAACTCCTGACCTCAGGGTATCACCATTATTTCATGAAAGGAAGGGTCACTTGACTCTCAAAAATGAATGAACATGATCTCGTAGTTAAGGCAGTTATTTAATTTAATAAATGTAATTTTATGGGTGGGTGTTTGTTTTGAGATGGAGTCTCACCCTGTCACCCAGGCTGGAGTGCAGGGGCATGATCTCAACTCACTGCAACCTCCACCTCTCAGGTTCAAGTGATTCTCCTGCCTCAGCCTCCTGAGTAACTGGGATTACAGGTGTGCGCCACCATGCCCAGCTAATTTTTGTAGATCTGGAGTGTCTATGAATATGCCAGACATTCTCTAAGACCCCTGACTACAGGGGCTAGAGTCTCCTTTTTGCCTTCAAGGAGATTATGCTCTGAAGGAGAACCAAAAAAGGGTGGCCAGATACAGGGAAGCCAGAGTCAGGACACAGGCAGACACTGGAGGCCAAGGAGATTATAGAGCAGAGGTCCCCAACATTTTTGGCATCAGGGACCGGTTCCGTGGAAGACAATTTTTCCACAGACGGAGTAGGGGAGGCTGGTTTCAGGATAAAACTGTTCCACCTTGGATCATCAGGCATTAGTTAGATTTTCATAAGAAGCATGCAACCTGCGTCTCTTGCATGCACAGTTCACAATAGGGTTTTCACTCCTATGAGAATCCAGTGCCACCACCGATGTGAAGGAGGCGGAGCTCAGGTGGTCATGCTCACTTGCCTGCCACTCACCTCCTGCTGTGTAGCTGGGTTCCTAACAGGCCACAGACCAGTACAGGTCCACAACCCTGGGCACTGGTGGTCCCTGTTATAGAGGATTGAGAGTTAGGAAAAGAAAATAGAAAAGGAGAGGCCTCTCAGAGGAGGTGGAATCTAAGGAAAATCTTACAGGACACAAGACTAAAACAAAACAAAATTATCAATTAGGCTTTCAGATGAGAATCAGACCAAGTCATACTGCCGTACCTAAAACGTGCGGATGAAAGTCTGGCAGACTAAACTTCTTTCTGTAATCCTGGGTCACCGTGTTAACTGCTTTCCACAAATCTTGTGGAAGAAATGGCTTTCCACAAATCTGTAATTTTCCTTTGTCTCCCTGACTCCCTTTTATAAGAGTTGCTTTAAGGAAATTCTTCTCTGTCAATTCTGACCTGAAGAAGATGAAGCCGGGTGAGGTGGCTCATGCCTGTAACTCCAGCACATTGGGAGACTGAGGTAGATGGATCACTTGAGGTCAGGAGTTTGAGACCAGCCTGGTCAACATGGTGAAACCCCGTCTCTACTAAAAACACAAAAGTTAGCCGTGGTGGCACATGCCTGTAGTGCCAGCTACTCGGGAGGCTGAGGCAGGAGAATCGCTTGAACTTGGGAGGCAGAGGTTGCAGTGAGCCAAGATCTCGTCATTGCACTCCAGCCTGGGTGACAGAGTGAGACTCTGTCTCAAAAAAAAAAAAAAAAAAAAAAAAAAGAAAAAAAAAAAGAAAAAAAAATGAGCTTTCAGTGAAAAAGGAGAGAGAAGTCACAGCCGATAGCTTTCAAGAAATCCTGGGCGTAGAGTATTTGAATGACTGAATCCCAGGTGCTACCTCGCTCCTACGACTCACAGTGTGGGCCTCTGAGCTGCAATATTGGTATCATCTGGGAATTTGCTAGAAATGCAGAATTTTGGGCCCTGGCCAACAGTGGCTGAATCAAAGTCTGAATTTTAATAAGATCCTCAGAGGATTGGGAAATCGATTAGGGTTTGGGAAGTGCTGCCCCAGCCCAATTCTTGTGAAAAAAGTCAACAACTGGACTGGATATGACGGGCATCAGAGCCTTGGTAGTGATTTGAAATTACTTTACATTCATCTGATCTCATTCATTGCTCCTCCAGATGTCTTAAAGGATAATGATGATGGAACAGAGAGAAGGGCTCTGCCCTAGAGGTATCTGACTTAAAATTGCCCTATATTATGTTACAAAAGAGTTTAATAACATTTACTTGGATCTATGCCCATGATCTTAGTTGTATTTCCAAACAACCTATAATTTCTTTATTTATTTATTATTTTACAGAGGAGCTCAGAGACATTAGGGGACCTGCTGGGCTCACACACAGTAGTCCAGGGCTCCTTCCTCAAGCCGAGCAGCCCGCCATTTGCCACAGCTGAGAAGATGGTACCACCTGTACCACTCGGACGGCCCGTGGCCCAGCACCAATCAACCGCGTAATCTGTGGCTCTTATCTCCAGACCCTTCTTTTTCCTTCCCTTACCAGCAGCCTCGTTCAGTCCACAGTTCCTAAACTGCCAGATAGGCCTACTCCTTGCTGCTTCCAATTCTTTGTCCTGTAAATCCATTTCACACATAGCCTCCCGAAGCCCAGCTTGGGATCCCGTCATGAACTAGCTTAGAGACATCAGAAGCCATTAACACGGTCCCATCCCGCAGGCAAGGACTATGGGATTCATCCTTGTATTCCTCACAAGCCTACTGGATGCCTTACGGAGGAGATAGGCTGAATATCCAGGGGTCCTAATGAACAGATGAGAAAAGCTGCTACAGTCTCTGGGCAAGAGACAGAGGCAGCCAAACAGGAAGGACTGCATACATGGACTGGAAGCATCCTGGTGGAACAGAGGGCTTGAACAGACTCACTGGCCAAAGATACGAGGAGCCAGACCAGGGCTCCCGCTTCTTCCTGTAGCTGGGGAGCTCCAAGGGTGAAAAACTGAATGCTGAAATGGTACCAGGTGGGAAGACAGGCATCCTGGCTCAGCATGGAGAGAAGGGAGGCACTGACATTTGTGGAATCATGTAGGCATCGTGCAAGGGGTTCCACATTTGGCACCTCTGATTTCCCAGGGACAGGACATTCTGAGGTCAGGATTAGGACTCACTTACCACAAGTTGAGACTGAGGCTAGGTTAAGGATAATCGCCAAGGTCTTGCAGCCAGCCAGTCGTTGGTAGAGTCAGTTTCCACCCAGGTATGTCTGATCCACACATTCTCTTTCCACTCTGCTGTTGCCCCAGACACCTGCAAGGAGGGACCACAAAGTGAACCACTTCGTTCTCTATCTCTCATTTGTTTCTCTAGACTACTTACACATGTGTATGATATTCTGTTGAATGTGGCATTGTGTGCAAACATTTAAGAAGTGGACATCAGAGGAAGACCATACCCCAAACCTCTAATTCCTTCCCACCACCTTCAGGGGTAACATGGTATAGCGGGTGGAATGGGGATCCACTATGGGTCACCCCAATAGTGATCCATAAATATATGTCCCCAAAATACGGTGACCTCAAAACATATATTCAAATCCTAAGCATCAAAACTTGTGAATGTGATCTTATTTGGAAAATGGTGTTTGCAGACATAACTAATGATCCCAAAATGAGACCATCCCAGATTTAGAGTTGGCCCTAAATCCAATCACAGTGTCCTCATCAGAGAAAGGCAGAGACAGATTTAACACACAGAGAAGAAACCATATAAAGACAGAAGCAGAAACAGGATTTACGTTGCCACAAGCCAGGGAATGCCTGCAGCCACCAGATGCTGGAAGAAGTAAAGAAAGGTTCTCTCCTGGAGCCCTTGGAGGGAGCAGAGCCCTGCTGATTCCTTGACTCCAGACTTCAGACCTCCAGGTGACGAGAACCTGAAATCTTGTTGTTTTAAGCCCCCCAGGGTTTGGTAACTTGTTGTGGAAGCCCTAGGAAATGAATTTACACTGCAGTTAAGAATCTTGGCAGGTGCGGTGGCTCACGCCTGTAATCCCAGCATTTTAGGAGTCAGAGGTGGGTGGTTCATTTGAGCTTAGGAGTTTGAGACCAACCTGGGCAACAGGGCGAAACCCTGTCTCTACCAAAAATTAGCTGGGTGTGGTGGCATGTGCCTGTGATCCCAGCTACTTGGGAGGGTAAGGTGGGAGGGCTACGTAAACTCAGCAGGCAGAGGTTTCAGTGAGCCAAGATCACACCACTGCACTCCAGCCCGGGCAACAGAGGGAGACTCTGCTTCAAAAAAATTAAAATATATATACATATATTTTGTGTTATAACTATCATCTAGAAAACTATATTGGCACCAAGGCCCTATAAAACCTATTCTCAATCCATTTGGCTTTGGATTGGGAAACCCAGATTCGAAAATCTGTGTTCAGATTATTGAGACATTTTAAGAACGTGCAGTCAGAAACTAAAATATAAAGTAGGGCAATTCATTCGCTACTTTTTTTTTCCTGAAAATAAGAAAATTCCTATTCATGCAAAATATTTTGCAGTGAATAGATAGCATTGTTTAGGAATGAGGATTATTTGTGCTGTTCCTATTGTAACCTAATTAGCTTTTCTTTAATGTGCATTAAGCATACAAGAGACAAAATGAGAAAGAACAAACACAAAGAGCTTAGGTTTTACCCACAAATCTGTTTTGTAGCCTGCAGTCTGGCAGAAAAGCCTACCAATCTCCCACTACATTTTTTGGTGTAAAAAAATTTATTTTCAATCTTCTTTTCCTCTCTCTCTCTCATGCTAATAAGAAATTTTTAAAGCAATTGTGAGCTAAAACCAAAGGTAAGTGGTAAGGCAGGCTTCTCCTAAATGCTCTCCATTATCCTCTCTCTGGCCTCATTTCGAATCATTCTCTGAAAATTCAAAAGGAATCTATCATCCTGCAAACGGAGGTGAAGTAAGCTAGGCTTCTTCCCTGGAGCACTGCTGCTGTTTACCTGGGAGTTGAGGTAAAAAGCCCAGGACTCTACAACTGGTAGTAAGAAGGGAAATGTGTGTCTCCAGAGTAACTCTGGGCATGAAGCTGGCAGCCTCTGATACATGTATTATATATATATTTTATATATATATATATGCATTACCACACATACTTACCTTTTTTTGTGGTAAGAACATTTAAAATCTCTTTTTTTTTTTTTTTTTTTTTTGACACGGAGTCTCACTCTGTCACCCGGGCTAGAGTGCAGTGGCGCCATCTTGGCTCACTGCAACTTCCGCCTCCTGAGTTGAAGCGATTCTCCTGCCTCAGTCTCCTGAGTAGCTGGGACTACAGGCGCACGCCACCATGCCCAGCTGATTTTGTTGAATTTTTTGTAGAGACGGGGGTTTCACAGTGTTACCCAGGATGGTCTCAATCTCCTGACCTCGTGATCCTCCCACCTTGGCCTCCCAAAGTGCTGGGATTACAGGCATGAGCCACTGTGCCCAGCCCTAAAATCTACTTTCTTACATACTACATATGTTATTAACTGTAGTTACCGTGATGTACAATGGATTTGCTGAAAGTACTCTTCCCATTCAAGTGAAGCTTTATGTCCTTTGACCAGCATCTCCCAAGTCTTCCCCACAATGGTAACCACCAATCTCCTCTTTAGTTCTATGACTTTGACTTGTTTATATTTCACATATAAGTGAGATTATGTGGTGTTTGTCTTTCTATGCCAGACTTATTTCACTTAATATTCTCCAGGTTCATCTATGTTGTAGCAAATGACAAGATTTTCTTCTTTTTTAAGGCTGAATAGTATTCCACAGTGTTTGTATACCATATCTCCTTTATTCACTCATCCATTGATGGACACTTTGGTTGATTTCATCTCTCAGCTATTGTAAATAGTGCTGCAATGAACATGGGAGTGCAGACATCTCTTTGATATACTGATTACATTTCCTCTGGATAGATACCCAGTAGTGGGGGTGCTGGATCATATGGTATTCTATTTTTAATTTTTTGAGGAGCCTCCATACTGTTTTCCATCCAGGCAAGTTACTTAAGCCTCTCTGAGTCTTGGCTTTCTCCTCTGAAAAATGAGGAAAATGGCTGGGCACAGTGGCTCATGCCTGTAATCCTAGCACTTTGGGAGGCCGAAGCGGGCAGATCACTTGAGGTCAGGAGTTCAAAACCAGCCTAGCCAACATGGTGAAACCCTGTCTCTACTAAAAAATACAAAAAAAAAAAAAAAAAAAAAAAAAAAA